GTCGCGTCATCACTGAACAACCGGATTGGAGTAATAGCTATTTTCAGTTGTTTTGATAACCTCGCTCTCTTTTTCGCGGGCTTTTGTGATCGCTGTCAATCAAATGCCAACATTTCAGTGAGGAGCTAGCTGCTAGCACCTAGCCTGACAGATATTTTTATTCCACGAAAAGTTAGACATGGAGGAACTTACCTCAACTGTGAAAAGTGAGTAACTGACTCTTTCTCTTGACCCACCTATTTATTTATTAAAGTGTTTTTTCGAAACCATATTGGGTACCAACTGGAGCTGGAGCTGGAGCTTAGTTATTAATTTAGCTTCCAACCTAGCTAATTCACAAATTGTTAAGTTGAGTCTATTATCTGGACGCCCAATAGCTAATAACAGTTTTGTGCCTCTGGTATATTAGCTAAATGTTACTCAGGCCATGGAAGTAATAGTTATTTTTCTAAAAGATAAAGGGAACTAAACAGGCAAAGTCTGAAAATCCCAAAAGTTGTATTATTAAAACTTACTGCTGTTGGGACTATAGCAGGAAAACGTTAGCCAGCAGGCTGCCATCTACATTTGTAAGTACAAATCTACACCTGTGTCAGGGCTCTGTGTGCAGGCGGATGGAGAGGAGGATCCAAATGCGAGACTCTGAGACTGAATTGAAACTGAGAACCTTAGCTTTATTGCTGGTGATAAACAACAACGTGAACTGAACAATGACACTGAGAACTGACCACACAGGCATAATTCTGAGGGTACCACGACACTGAGCACAGGAAAACACAGGGCTAATATACACAGGGTGGTAATCAGCGAATGGGCAACAGGAGGGAGACACAGCTGGGAGAGATCAGGGTTAAGGAGACTGGGGGAACCAAGCTGCACACACTAACATAAGACAAAGACTTTCACAATAAAACAGGAAACATGAATTACTACTCAGGGACAAGGACTCAACACAGAGAGACAGAAAATGACACATGGAACTGAACTATGTTAAACATGAGATATAACTGAGAACAAATCCTTAAGCACGGATAACAGAAACAAGAAACTAATAATAATCATCATCACTACGAGAATAAGAAAACAATCCATGAAGCAGAATTAAACCGAAATATAATAAACTCAAAATACTGGGTCCAACGGACCCAGAACCGTGACAACCTGGGTAACAATTTGAAACTTTTAAAGCAGTTTTTAATGGAGAGTACATTCACTTTATTCAATGGGTAAAAAGGGTACTTGAAGACCTTATGTGTATTTCAAACAGGGTCTTAGAATTTTTAAAGAAACTGCTTTGTTATAGACTTTTTATACATTGTGTGCAGCCTGATAATACAGATGATTACAGGCATAAAACTGGGGTTCATGTTATCCACTAAACTGCTCATGTTATCTTGGTCACCAGCCACAGTGAATTATTGTTATATTTTACATTATTATAACAAGCTAGCCCCCTAACTTGCTAATATGTAAATGAATACTTTTTTAAAATGGCAACTAATTAACCTAATTTGGGATGTATGACTCATACTTCATTTTAGATTATATTCTACCTTAAAAGATGAACAATCATTAATAATTGGCTTAATATTTCAGTGCTAATAGCCTAACATTAAGACACAAGAGAATATCTGAATTCTTTTTGAAATGAGAAAGGACATTAATGTAGTCAAACTGGATTTTGAGACAGATTTTTAACTTAAACAAAAGAATAAGAAAGTGGGGTGCTCTCCATGTCCCACACTTTATTGTCTTGCACAAACAGTATCTGGTTTTCTTTATAGTGTAGAAAATTCGGATATTCTTATTGCATGAAAAATCAGATGTCACTTTTCACTTCAGAAGACAACATGTCCACTGTTACCCTGTTTGTGTCCTGTCAACGTCTGTTTTTGTTGACTTTTTTTTAATACACAGGTCTTACTGAGCTCCTGCTGCAAAAGCAGCTAACAGATTATGATGAAGTGATAGAGGAGCTCTTCTCTGAAGTCCCTGGACTTGAGGCTATGCCCAAAATACCAGATCCGCAGGTAGACAAAAACATGCCAACTTGTTTAACTATACGCCACAAGTCAGTAGTGATGTAAAGTTATAGTATAACTATAAAACCCCCCAAAAAATAAAATAAAATGAAGAATTAACAAATACTTATTGAATAAATTTTTTTACACCGCTAATATTCTTGTTGCTGAATTAATCTAACCTACTACAAGTTATATGACTGTTGCAATAGTTGCATGAAGTTTAAAGACTTTAATTTAATGTAATATTGTTAATACTCATATACAAGAAGCTGGCATAATTTTTTTTGTTGTCGTGTTTACAGCTGGAGGAGTGTGCCATTAAGCTGTGGAACTGGGGAGTTACTAACAATGTGGGTGTCACAATAAGTACAATTCAAAAAGCCCAAGGTAAATTTGTATTTGTATTGTTCCACCCCTTATTTTTTGTATTTTGCTAGGAAAATAGGAAATATATACAGAAATGCATTTAAACATACAAATGTGCATGGAAATATATAAGACAAAAACACAGTCTGTACTATTCTAACAAGTTTCAAAGTTAATATTTGGTATGAGCACCTTTATTGTTCAACCCATCCTAAATTTTAAATGTTTCTTGTAATTTCTTTAAGTAGTCTTCAGGAATAGTTCTCCAGGCTTGTTGAAGGAGATTCAAAGCTCTTCTTTGGAAGTTGGCTGCCTTTTTTCAGTTCTCTGTCAAGATGATCCCACTTTGATCCCATTTTGACTTTAATAATATTGAGGTCTGGACTCTGAGGAGGCCAGTCCAAGACTGATTGTGTTCCACTGTGCATTTTTCTATGCTTTATTACAGTGGTAGTATTTTGGGATCTTCTCTCCTCACATTTAAATACTCTCACTATGCTTACAGTGCGTCATGTTGCATGCAGTCTGTTGTACTGCTGTGAGCCTGAGAACCCAACAGAGGGCACCATTCGCAAGCAGATTCTGGTAAGCAGTACTGAAGGCAGCCTCTGTGAGTGCCCAATGTTTCAGGAGGACAAGGCATGTTTGTCAGTGTCTAATCTTTACAGATGGCCAGCAAAACAGGGAGAACCTGGCTGGACTGCAAAAATCCCCAGATGGCAGATAAATACTTAAGCCTTGCTGTCAAGGTGAAGAAGAAAATAACACTCATACTGATAGTCTCTTAATTCTGTGTAGGTTTTGAAGCAAACACAAATACCATGTTTTTAGAAATGACTCAGAATCTAATATCTCCAGAGCCTTGAAATCCTCTACAGCCAACTGATGTCCAGAGGCAATGGCACAGCTGACATCAGTTCATCCAAGGAGGATGTGGAGAAGGATCTACTTCGAATTCTCTCATACCAAGCAGAATCGGTGAGCTGTGGCGCATGTGATGTTCGACACCTTCGATGTGAATATTTGTTCTTGTGATATTTGGCAGCTTAGGAAGTGCCATTCTGACAGACTTGCAGTGTGAAGTGTGAGACAGCTAAAATGTGAACTGAGAAACAATGAGAGGGGTAAATTTCTGACAGCTAATAGGGAGTATTATATTGTTTGCTGACATTTAATTATAAGTTCAGATCTGTTCTCCTTTACAGGCCATAACTCAAGGCAATAACAAAGAGGCTGTGGCCTACATTCAGCGTTGTAAAGACATGTTGCTGCGACTACCAAAGGATGTAAGAAAAAAGGCCATCTGTTGCTATTATAACAACACTATATATTGATTTTTCACTTTTACACTACATATTGTTATGGGATGTGTGGGGGATGTTAACTGTGATTATACTTTCTCAATACAGACTGCGTACCTCTCCCTAATGTGCTACAACTTTGGAATAGATGCTTACAATGTGAGGAAGTATGAAGACACTGCTTTTTGGTTGAGGTAATATTCTAATGTTCATTTTCCCAAGAAAAATGTTGATAAAGGTTGCAATCGAAGAGAAATGTTTCCGTTTCAGTCAAAGCTATGATATCGGGAAAATGAATATGAAATATGGCCCTGGATCTGAAGTTTTGGTAAGACAGGACAATATAAACTTTCATACAAACATGACTGTCATTTAGAATTACAATTGTAATAAAAGTTATGTTAATTTCCCTACAATAGGCCAAGGCTTTGCGGCTCCTCGCCACTGTTTATTTGGAGTGGGACTGTGAGAAGTTTGCAGAGAAGGCGGTCAACGCTGTTAGCTTAGCAAACAAGGTAAAACATTAGGAATCATTTTTAGATTGTTATTTATATAAGCAGAGGAATCTTCAGCTTTTCAGCTAATTGTGTAATTTGACAGGAATGTGTGAGCACATATGGACTGTACTTAAAGATCAAAATACTCCTGAGATGTGAGTCATCAGACAGTGACTTCAGAGCAGGTTAGTTGATACCACAACCAGAACATATTGAGTTATTTAGACAGAATTTGATTGGTGCTGCAGTGGGTTGTTAGTCTCCAAAGTGATAAAACTGTGGGTTAGGTGTTCTCTTAGAGCTGTTCTGACTACAGTAGCAATAGATACTTATACCGAGAGCCTTGGAAAGAGTTAATATGTCTCTGTAGATGACTTCAGCAGAGTTACAAATGCACATTAAAAAGCATTTTTAAAAATTCATTTTCAGGACTTAATGAGATGCTGGAATCAGAAGTTTCTCTTGAGCTCTGCCTAAGTACAGTGAAACTATTAATCTCTGAAAAGAGGTAAACATCTTTGTTTGTATGGTAATAATTCCCATTAGTTTTTTGTAGAAATATATAATACAGAAAGAAGCATCTTTTTTTTAAGTCTCAGGCATATTTTATCGATCTGAATATGTCTGTTATTTTTCTAGAGAAGCGCTGGCTTTTGAGTATTTGAAAAGTGTGTGTCAGCACTTTGAGACATCCCCTGACCTGGGAACTGCTCTTGTCTTGCACATTGAGCTGCTGCTGCAGAGAGGCAAAGAGCTGCTGGGCAAACAGAAGATTGAGGATGTTATCACTGGTATTTTATTTTTGCTATCAGTACTATAATAAATCTAAATTAAGACAGAAAAAAATTAAATTGCATGACAAATACTATATATTTATCACTGCGTATAGTATTAAAAAGAATGAATAGTACTTTAAATGTGCTACTGTATTAGTATGATCATTTTTTTACACCCACATAGGCCACTGTACAGGCAAACAGCTGACCCCACAGGCTCTTACAAGTCTCCATGTCTTGCTGTGGGATAAAGCATCCAAGTACTTTGAGGTACACATCTATTCACAATGCATTTTAGAGTCCATACAGACGTGCATACTTATAAGCATGTTCACAATCTGCAGTGTTGCTTCACAACTAAAAGGCAGGTGGCCACAAAAAGGTCCACCTAACCCTTGTTAGGTATTGTTTGATGTTTCCTTATAAAACAGCATGTGTGTGTTAGAAGTTTTCCTATAGTGTTAGTTCTTGTTTTCTGAATTTCCACCATTAGTAAGTAGTTTATTTAGCATAGGTTCAGTGTAGAGCTTTACTTTTCACATGGACAAAAGTTTAACTTTGTGTTTCCAGGCTGGAAGCTATTCTGAGGCTCTTCAGTGGTATAACTACTCCTTAAGTCTCTTCAAGGGAGGTCAAATGGAGCCCAACTTAGCCAAACTGCAAAGAAACAGAGCTTCCTGCTTCCTAAAACTTAAGCAACTGGAAAAGGTAAGAGAACTTGAGGTTGCTGTAGTTGGTAATTTTAAGAACACCAGTATTTATATGTCACTAGTGACAACTGAAGGTATCCCTGGCATATATTTTTTTACAGTTACTGCATGCAAATATGTTTTCATCTGTATTAAAAATCTTAATTTTTGTAAGGCCAAAGAAGCAATTAAGGAAGCACAGAGATGTGATCCAGACAACATTTTTACTCAGTTTAGCGTATACAAGGTGGCTGTGCAGGAGAATGAGGCAGAGAAAGGTACCTAAAAAAGATTACTTACTGGGACTGGGGCGCTTTATAAATCATACTAGTGTTGCCATAATAACAGCAATATTTTCACCATATTATTTTTGATGATGTGGCTGATTTATTTATTTTTTGCTAGCCTCAGGTGCATTACATGCAATGGGACGTCTGTCCAAGAATCCTGTAGCCTGTGAGGACAGACTGCTGGTGTCGGAGGATGCTGCTTCCAATCTCCTGAGTCTGGCTGCTCAGATTGCTCTGGAGGTAGAATTTATCACAGGACTCATTGCTCGTTTCTGTACACCAGTCCTTCAGTTTAGGTCTGATTGAGTTATTATTACATTTCCCAGTCTTATGATGATATAGCGCCTCATCAGTGCTATTTGCAGCTTGGACAGAAACTGGCAGTTTTTGTGAGTGGGAAGTTGATGAGGGATTATGTCCTTGTCACTGAACTCATACTGGTTCCTGTGCAGAAGGGGCTGAGAAGAATAGCATCACTGAGAAGATGATCGAGCATGTTAAACCTTTCCAGGAAAATGTCCAAGCCAGCTGGGATCAAAGATAAAGCTTAAATATTTTTCAACTCTTGTTCGTGTAGACTTATACTGCAGTCCTTCCTCAATAGTTACATACTTTATACTATTATACAAAAAGAGGTGTGACTGTAACTTTCCCCAGCTATTATAATCAATAGTTTCAGTTATTAAATCAGCTTGAATTTTCTTTAGTGTACTATGTGATTCTGATGCGCATCGATAAGTATTGGTGGTGGGTGGCATTAATGGTGATGAGAAAGTTTCTAACTCTGTGACAGAATGGACAACAGGAAACCGCCATGAAAGCACTGGAGATTTTGTGTGAACACTCCAAAGATCAAGCACAGGTTCTGGTTGCTCTGAGGTATGTGAAAACTTAAGTATAACCTAAAAACAAGAAGCAACATTTTAACCTCACTTTTATTAAAATAGTATCTAACATGAATGATATGATGTGACAGTATGTAGCCAAAAACAGATTGAGTACAGAGCCTTACACATAAGGCTGTTATTAAATAAACATACAGTTACATACATTCATCATGAGCACAAAGAACATTTTAATTTGGTACTTTAATAATTTGAAACCCCGAGTTAATATTCGTGGTAACTTAAAAAAATAAAAATAATGCTTGCACTTGTGAATAATTGCGTTTGTTTTTTTTTTATTATGTGCTTGCATTCTTATTGTCTTGATTTGGATGCAGTCTTAGATACGTATACATTTGATGCTAATATCTAACTTTGCTAATGGATATCATGTTTGGTTTTTGAGATCTGAAAATAATGACTCATGTTTAAATCTCGAATTGGGTCATGATGGTACTGCGTCACACATTTAGTAGAGGTGGCTCAGAGATTGTATTTAGTCTCTTAGTTTTCCACACACCTCTATGATCCACTGACCTATATTCCCTCACATTTTCACTGAAAGTATGTCTCTGTATAATACAGTTAGTAGGTGAAAGAAAGGAGGTCAACGCCAATTTCTTCATTCATCTTTTTAGGTGTTTGGTTCGGCTTGTTCTCTCCACAATAGAAAAATTGAGTGATGAAATAAGGTGAGGCGAGAATGAGGGAAAATACCAAATGTTTTCATATTTCAAATTGATGCTGATTTAACTGAAAAAAACAACAACAGATCTACATTTCCTACATTCATTCCATGCAGTGATGTAAGTCTGGATGTCTTGCTGCCGCATCTAAAAAAGGGTAAGTGCAAATCCATGAGGGTTTAATTGCATTGTGAGTGGAAGTGTCTCAACTACAGTGTCATGTGTTGTGCGTCATAACCCTCGGATGTTTTCTTTGCCGTCACTTCAGCTCTGCAGACAATTTCACACCCCTCTCACATGACTGTTGATCAACGCACAGAGGAAGCTAACTGGTTCAGAAAGATTGGTGCTAAGATTCTTTCTCTTCTTTTCACTTCAATCTAACGTGGTGTGCTATGACTTAAAATCTTGCAGCACCTTCATTTTGTCTGTGTGCTCATGTGTGTCCTTGTTACAGCTTGGAACTTGGCTTTGCAGTGCGAGAGCAGCCCTGACAAAATGAGAGATTTCTTTGTGCTCTCTTACCAGGCAAGTGTCCTTTTTA